GCTGTTAAGATGCTGGCACCTGAACAAGAATACCGGCAAAAAGCTTGGCTGGGTGAGGTTTTCAATGAATCCTGGAACAAGTGTGTGTGTTTTTTGAAAAGTCAGCAGCTACAGTATTTGCTGCTGCTGACTTTTAAATTTTTGTTTACAGGGTGAAGATCCTCTTTAATGTATTTTATTATTGCAGTTTTACTTGAATAAAGCCACTTCATCATATTAGGTCAGGGCACTCTTGTTATTTTTTGTTTAATGGCACCTAAAACAGTTTTTTTTCAACCTTTTTACCCCAGAGGAACCCTTGAAATAATTTTTAGGTCTTGAGGAACACCACCTTAAATTAATTGGGGGTCAGTTGAAAAAATGCCAATTACTTTGGGATGAACACTCTCCTTGGTGGTAATCCGACTGCCACTCTTACAGACAGCAAAAAATATTGTGGTGTTATGTAGCTGGCTCTGCCATGTGGCATTAGCCCTGGAGGTGTACAGGCACAATTCAATAGGAGGTCAATAAACCTTAGCTTAAGGAACCCCTAACAACCTCTTGAGGAACCCTGGTTGAAAATGGCTGGCCTAAAGTGTCATCTAAAAAATCCAATCATGTTAAAATATACATTTCATCAAACTATGCAAGTTAGTATGCAGCCAATTACCTTGCATCCAGTCCACAACTAACACGGTCATACCTACTTTTTTTTTTTTACTACATATTGCATGCAGGCTTTCTGGCGAACTTTCAGAAAATGCAGCAAAACCTCTGGACAAAATAGAAGTCTATGGCAAGGTGCAGCTAATCCACAGCAAAACTACACTACGCTGCACCCACGTTGAGACCAAAGTGTAGGGGGGGGGGGAGTGTGAAGCTGCCTTTGGAGTTTTGGCCCTTATATCTACAATACTGTAATAGGGTTACATTATGTGGTGATATTGGTGGTCCAATATTAGTGGATGATTGTTTATATTTTCACATGCTGTGTAAAGCAGGAGGCTTTTACACTCAATGTCAGTTTGCATACATATATTTTTATTATTTCCTGCATGTATCAAATAAATTAATATGTTTTTAGAATTAACATTTGATATGCTTGTGAGCAATGCATTTAAAGCACTATTAAACCTGAAACCAGAAATATAATATATTGCAGCTTACCAGTCATCAAATTTGGTGGCTGCATTAGTTCTTTTTTCTGTCTTTCTTCCCTGTTTTCACTTCGTGATCTGGCCAGTAGAGTGCCCCACTCAGGATGAAGGAGCACAGGGGCCATTTTTGGGCAGCAGCATTGTCAGTCTGGGGAAAGAGGAGTGTTGGATATACTAGCGGATTTAGTGAAAATTCCAGCAGTTACAGTAACAGTTTTTTTCCTTTTAGGATAAATGTTTTAGATAAATAAATAAAAGCTGATCATTGTAAGTACTCCTGTGAGTGGTAATTGTCTTGTCTCAATCCTCCATCTACTACATCTGCAGGAAAGCTTGTTCTGCTACAAAAACAACAGACTTACTGGCTGGATGACCAGATGAAAATAAAGAAAGGAAAGCCCAAGAAAGAAAACAAATGCAACTGTCACATCTAAGAATTGTCAGGCTGCAGTATAATAAATATTTGCATTTGGGTTTAATATCACTTTTAAAGTTCAGTTAAAAAGATATTTAGTTTATGACTATATTTGTGGGATGTCAGTGCTCACAATTTAACAATAGCAGGGTGGTATCACCTTATATACCTCTGTGCCCAGAACAGGGAACACTAGCTTACATTTTCAAGGGCTCAGATGCAGGACAACAAAGAAACTAAAGATTCTAACAACTATAGCGATGTAGCTACCAGATTATGATGATGATGAATGATAACATGAAAAGTACAGTCCCTCAGGATATAGGCCCATCCCTGAGTGCTGGTCCGCGTTCCTCTGTGATTCAGTGTGATGCGATATTCAAATGAATGGGCTGAAATGCACTGGATTGCACCAAAAATAGTGCATGCACTACTTAAAAAAAACAGTGTAAATAGTTCACATAGTACTGCAGTACCATGCAATCCATTGCAGACAAACACACTGTGTTTGTGATTTGTGTTTGGGGTGTCGTTCGGATTACCTAGTGTATTTTGAATGTGGTATGGTAAACACACACAAAATGTGGGTTTCCCACACTGCATTCCGGTGTTTAACAGCCCTGAGTTGGTTTAAATGCATTACTTTTGTATGCCTGTGTACCTGTAAATTCAAACCCAACTAAGACCTGTATTCAATGGGTTCCACATCAATGAGTGGTATGAGTCACTCATCTAACAGTGTATAACTTGTTTTTTATAAATCTAATTTTTCACTAGTAAAGCAAATTGTTGGGTAAAATAAACAAACCTTCTCAGTGACAATTATATTACAAAAATATAGAGCAGAGTATATAAAAGGATTGCAAATGCTTACAAATGAACAAACTGCACCAATGTAACACTGTAACTAAAAATGGACACGCTAAAGTCTGAAAGCTGTAATACTTGTTTGATGCCTTTACATATTTTGTATGACACATTCAGTTGCACTAAATATGTTTTTTTTTTTCAGTATTCTTGGCTAATCCTTTTTTTCTTGGCTGACCGAGTAGATTATCTGCTAAGGCTTCTGCAACCTACTTTTTTCCACAACACAATACTAAATTATTTATTACCATAAAGAAAAATCAAGCAGCAGAATTATGTAACCATTAAATAAGAGTAGAACAAATATGTTTAACAAGTTTTAAAGGGCAATGCAAAGGTTATCTAAAAGTTTTAAGAACTGCAAATTAAGGTTGACCAAAATTATTCAAATATGCTTTGGAAGAATGAGGTTTCTTATGGAGAATCCAATGCATTTTGCCTCTTCACTGGGGTTTGAAGGGTTAGTTTGCCCATGCAGGTAAGGGGTGCCTGTAGACAAAAAAAAACTGTGCAGCTTGACCAAAGCCAGATAACAACATTGCTAAAAGTGTAGACCATTGACAAACCTCGCAAAGTCTGCTAAAAGGAAAACTCCCAGAGATGGCGTCCCCCTGTCCTGTCTTGTTGCTAGGACATTGCACATGTGTAGTTAACTATCACCTTCATCGCAATATTGCTGAGGTCAGAACTAGTGCAACAGGAAGCAAGAGCAAATGCAAGGGGGTTGGAATCTAAGAGCTTGTTCCTGTGATGGTGGGGAGCAGTAATGGCTGGAAGTGTCTTAGCAACATCTTAGCAATAAGGCAGGGAAGTGGATCCCCATCTCTGGAAGTATTTCGGCCAGGCATTGGAAGGTATGTAAATGGCCCACATTATTCAACTTTGGTCAAAAATGCAAAGTTTGTTTTTATTTACAAGTGCCCCTTACTTGCATGGACATTTTTTTGTTTAATTGAACTAACCCTTTAAGTTTATAGCTAGAGGGAACCTGGATGCAAAATTAGTTTCTTAGGGATTATCAGGTAGCAAGGTGATAAATAAAGCTTTCCTGGTTTTGCACACAGTTGGCCACCTGTTCCTCAATAACTTGGCCTTTGAGGCTCTGCTTTCTGCTGGTTCTCTTCTTACTTATATCACTGTATCAAAAATCAGTTTCCCAAAGAGGGGTTTTTACCATAAATGACATAAATGACGTTCAGCCTTGTGGCATTCTCTAGCAGCGCTACTGCTCAGTCCTGTTGCCTTGGTCCTCCAGACCATCAAACACAGCACTCAGTGCTCCTTTACACACTCTGTCCCTTGGCTCTCTTTCAGCTCCTTTAATATGCAGACATACACACTCTGGACACACTTATGCAGAGACCTCCTGGCTCTTGGGTGGTCTTAGATTATAAGGATTGTGAACACCTGCCCACTCAGCCTGCCAGTTTCTGGCAAGGCCCTGACATTGGGTTGGAGACTCCTGCCCTCCCAAAGCACTTTGAAGTATCTGAGCTCAAGAGCCCAATGCTCCCATGAATGCTGGAGGGGCAGAGCAGAGAGCCGGAGACTGACAGTCACAGCTCTCTACTCAGAGTGGAGAGGGAGAACTGAGCAATCCCGGTGTTTCATGGCTCAGTTTTCCCTGCAGAGCCTCTAGGGGACAGATACAGCAGTGGATTGATACTGCATTCACCTAGGTATCATTTTTTTTTTATCCCACATTTCTATTTTTTGCCCAGGTTCACACTGATGCGGTGTGGAATTCACACCGGTTTTTGCGCACCACATCACAATCGCACCCCCGTTCATGCGAACCGCTGCAGGTGTGTATTTTAATTTAACAACAACCCGAAATCAGTTTGCAAAACACAGTGCGATGTGCAGAATCTGATCGCATGGGTGTGAACACCCATGCGATCCGATTCTGGTGCGGACAAAAAAAAAGGTCCTGAACTATTTTGATGTGGATGTGATGCGATTTGAGCTGTACAAAATATATGGCTCAAATTACACCACACAGAAATCGCATGTGATTTGCACAAGAATGTGGTGCGGTTCCTGTGCGAATCACATGCCATGTGCCACACTGCATCAGTGTGAACCAAGGCTAAAGCAGTTTTAGACTTCTTTACGGTATGAACTTGGTTTAGCGTTCTCTTTTCATTTTATCTTTCAGTGACACTCTTGGGTGCCCACTGGAGGGTAGCCCTGGTTGCGAGTCTCCTAACCAGAGCCAATGAGTTTTTCCAAGGATCATCGTCCTTCCCTTTATTACTCTGTGTCAGTAAGTATTGAAGTCCCAACACTATTTGGATCTATCCCCTTGTTCCCACACTGGACACTGAGAATTTTAACCAACATAGAGAATAGAAGTGGCACTGTGCAGTAGTGATGGGCCAAACAGCTCCTTGTTTGGTTCGCGGTCAAACATTCGAATCTAATGAAAGTTTGACCGCGAACTTCAAACCTAATGCAAGTCTATGGGACTCGAGCTTGTAAATTCAAAAGTGCCCATTTTGAAGGCTTATATGAAAGTTATTAGCCATAAAAGGGGTATGGGGACTCGGGTACTGCCCTGAGCGACATGAATCAGGGAATCAGTGCCACCTATCAGTGCCAGTCAGTGCCGCCTATCAGTGCCCATCAGTGCCACCTATCAGTGCCCGTCAGTGCTGCCTAACAGTTCCAATCAGTGCCGCCTATCAGTGCCAGTCAGTGCCGCCTTTCAGTGCCCACCAGTAATGCCTGTCAATGCCCACAAGTGATGCCTATCAATGCCTATCAGTGCCACCTATCAGTAACTCCTTATCAGTGCCGCCTATCAGTGCCCATCCGTGCCACCTATCAGTGCCAATCACTGCTGCCTCATTAGCGCACATCAGTGAAGGAGAAAAATTACTTATTTACATTTTATAACAGAAACTGAGAAAAAACTTATTTTCTTTCAAAATTTTCAGTCTTTTTTAGTTTGTTTAGCAAAAAAATAAAAATCCCAGTGGTGATTAAATACCACCAAAAGAAAACTATCTGTCTCAAAAAAATATAAAAATGTTGTTTGGGTACAGTGTTGCATGACCGCGTAATTGTCATTCAAAGTGTGAGAGCACTGAAAGCCAAACATCGGCCTGGGTAGGAAGGGGGTGAAAGTGCTTGGCAGGCAAGTGGTTAAATATCATGCCTGGGGGGTCCCCTTAAACTACCTGCAAAGCTGCAAATCTGTACAATGTATAAAACCTGCTATAACAGGACTGACATTTTTTAAAAACATGACACTCTCCTCTATCTGACATTTGCCGGTCAGATGTAAACATATGGGTGGAGCTAGCGGTGATGTCACCGCTAGCTCCGCCTAATTGTGCTTTGATTGGCCAATCACAATGCACTGTCAGAGCACAGTCCATTGTGGGAGTGCGGCTTGCAAATAGCCCACTGAACGCCCTTACCGTTGGTATGTTCATCTAGCTATTTAACTTACGTTAAACTAGAACATCAAAGACATCACTACTGTGCAGCATTAATACTTACAGAGAGTAAGGCAGCTCACAGATGAGTCATTTTTGTTTGTTCAACCAGCGGGTTGAACAAAAAATAACTGACATGATCCCCCCATCCATATGTTGGAGGTGGACTGGGTAATCCTCCCTGCTACGACATTGTATTCTGATAGTGGGGAGACTTCCACACTGTTAAAATACAATGATCAGCACTGCTGGCTATAGCCTTCAGCGCTGATCAAGCAGGTAAAATCTGACAGGGAGGTTGTACAGAAGTCAATTGGTAGACTGACTTCAATACAACCACAGTGCCCATACATGGGTCGAAATTTGGCCAGTCCTTGCTGATCTGGTTGAATTTTGATCCATGTATGGAAGGCTTAAGGCCTCATGCACAAGGGTTTTGCTGGCAGAAAGCTGGCAATATCATGTGCAAAAAACAGTCCGTAGTTAATCTCAATGCTTCATATATGCGCATATGTCCATAGGAGTTGCAATTTGTACTTACAGTGCCTTGAAAAAGTATTTAAATTAAATGGGGGTGGACTCCTGTGCTGCCAAATATCCTCACAAGGGATGAAGTAGCTGCTAAGACCCGAAGGAAATGAGATGAAAAAATTATTTTGAACGAATAGTGTAGCGCTGTAAATACTAAAATACCATATTGTCAAATCATAATATAAATAATATTAAAGTGAAAGAATATGTGTATCCTTATTACCTTATTTAAAGGTGAAATACATTCCAAAGCAAATATAAAATCAAAGTGATCAATTATAAAGCCATGACATTTATCAATTGATATAAATGAATAAAAAAAAGTCCCAAGAAGTGAAGAAATTAGTCCCAACAAGTGAAAAAAAATAATTATAGCACAAAAAAATATATAATATAAAAATCCAGATTTTTCAATTCTTCAACTTTTATATTCCCACTTTTTGTTGCATGCTCATATTTATGGTGCCAATATTATCCATTACCTTCTAGTGTGTGCGCTCACCTAAAAAAATTCGACCCTCAAGGAGTCAAAGAGCAATCAATATCCCCGGATGATCCCTGGTTGGATGGATCTCTCCCTTTAAGTGGACACAGGAACAGCTCCCACCGAAATCATATAACCGATCAAACACATCTTTAAGGGGTTTTCAAATGGCTCAAAAAAAAGTCAAAGATAGAACTTCCATAGTGTAGTAATTAAATATTTATTAAAAAAAATTCAAAAACAGCCAAATGGCTACTCACATAAAAACAAGGGTCACAGACCCAGCAGGCATGTACTGTGTAACCCACAGTCAGGTGTACATACAAGGAGTCCCAAGATGGCGAATACCATCCAAACGTAATGACATCACCACGCTCTATTCCTACGCGTTACGTCACGCTAACACGTGACTTCTTCAGGGCTATAGAGCTGGTGACCACGGACACCTTTTATAGGAATATATATATAGGAATGCTCCTTGTATATGTGGAAAATCCATGGGAAAATGGCCACTGTGCTCCGCCTAATGATCCAATTTAGGTGCGGACTTCCTAAAAAAGGTGTCCATGGTCACCAGCTCTATAGCCCTGAAGAAGTCACATGTTAGTATGACGTAACGCGTAGGAATAGAGCGTGCTGATGTCATTACGTTTGGATGGTAATCGCCATCTTGGGACTCCTTGTATGTACACCTGACTGTGGGTTACACAGTGCATGCCTGCTGGGTCTGTGACCCTTGTTTTTATATGAGTAGCCATTTGGCTGTTTTTGAATTTTTTTTTAATAAATATTTAATTACTACACTATGGAAGTTCTATCTTTGACTTTTTTTTGAGCCATTTGAAAACCCCTTAAAGATGTGTTTGATCGGTTATATGATTTCGGTGGGAGCTGTTCCTGTGTCCACTTAAAGGGAGAGATCCATCCAACCAGGGATCATCCGGGGATATTGATTGCTCTTTGACTCCTTGAGGGTCGAATTTTTTAGGTGAGCGCACACACTAGAAGGTAATGGATAATATTGGCACCATAAATATGAGCATGCAACAAAAAGTGGGAATATAAAAGTTGAAGAATTGAAAAATCTGGATTTTTATATTATATATTTTTTTGTGCTATAATTATTTTTTTTCACTTGTTGGGACTAATTTCTTCACTTCTTGGGACTTTTTTTAATTCATTTATATCAATTGATAAATGTCATGGCTTTATAATTGATCACTTTGATTTTATATTTGCTTTGGAATGTATTTCACCTTTAAATAAGGTAATAAGGATACACATATTCTTTCACTTTAATATTATTTATATTATGATTTGACAATATGGTATTTTAGTATTTACAGCGCTACACCATTTGTTCAAAATTATTGAAAAAGTATTCATACCCCTTGAAATTTTCCACATTTTGTCACGTTACAACCAAAAACATAAATTTATTTTATTGGGATTTTATGTGATAGACCAACACAAAGTGGCACATAATTGTGAAGTGGAAGGAAAATGATAAATGGTTTTAAAAATGTTTTTACAAATAAATCTGTGAAAAGTGTGGTGTGCATTTGTATTCAGCCCCCCTGAGTCAAAACTTTGTAGAACCATCTTTCTCTGCAATTACAGCTGCAAATCTTTTTGGGGATGTCTCTAACAGCTTTGCACATCTAGAGAGTGAAATTTTTGCCCATTCTTCTTTGCAAAATAGCTCAAGCTCTGTCAGATTGGATGAGAGTGTCTGTGAACAGCAATTTTCAAGTCTTGCCACAGATTCTCAATTGAATTTAGGTCTGGACTTTGACTGGGCCATTCTAACACATGAATATCCTTTGATCTAAACCCTTCCATTGTATCTCTGGCTGTATGTTTAGGGTCATTGCATGCTGGAAGGTGAACCTCTGCCCCAGTCTCAAGTCTTTTGCAGACTCTTAACAGGTTTTCTTCTAAGATTGTCCTGTATTTGGCTCCATCCGTCTTCCCATCAACTTTGACCGATTTCCCTGTCCCTGCTGAGGAAAAGCATCCCCACAACATGATGCTGCCACCACCATGTTACAAGGTGGGGATTGTGTGTTCAGGGTGATGTGCTGTGTTAGTTTTCTGCCACACATAGTGTTTTGCTTTTAGGCCAAATGTTGAATTTTGGTCACATCTGACCAGAGCACCTTCTTCCACTTTTGCTGTGTCCCCCACATGGCTTCTCGCAAACTGCAAACAGGACTTTTTATGGCTTTCCTTCATCAATGGCCACTTCTTGCCACTCTTCCATAAAGGCCAGATTTGTGGAGTGCATGACTAATAGTTGTCCTGTGGACAGATTCTCCTACCTGAGCTGTGGATGTCTGCAGCTCCTCCAGAGTTACCATGGGCCTCTTGGCTGCTTCTCTGATTAATGCTCTCCTTGCCCGGCCTGTCAGTTTAGGTGGACGGCCATGTCTTGGTAGGTTTGCAGTTGTGCCATACTCTTTCCATTGTCAGATGATGGATTGAACAGTGCTTCGTGAGATGTTCAAAGCTTGAGATATTTTTTCATAACCTAACTCTGCTTTAAACCCCTCCAAAACTTTATCCCTGACCTGTCTGGTGTGTTCCTTGGCCTTCATGATGCTGTTTGTTCACTAATGTTCTCTTACAAACCTCTAAGGGCTTCACAGAACAGCTGTATTTATACTGAGATTACATTACACACAGGTGGACTCTATTTACTAATTAGGTACCTTCTAAAGGCAATTGGTTCCACTAGATTTTAGTTAGGGGTATCAGAGTAAAGGGAGCTGAGTAAAGGGGGGTAAAAAATTTTGAAAACCATTTATCATTTTCCTTCCACTTCACAATTATGTGCCACTTTGTGTTGGTCTATTACATAAAATCTCAATAAATTACATTTATGTTTTTGGCTGTAACATGACAAAATGTGGAAAATTTTAAGGGGTATGAATTTCTTTTTCAAGGCACTGTATGTACAAAGTCATTCATTCTGAATAAGTGAATGCTGAGGTCACTCTGTGCCTGTGTTGCTGCCTACAAATAGTTGATGTCTGCATCTCCCCCTGGCCCTGAATGAGTCATTCACTAGGCAGCATTGGTGGCACAGGGGCAGAATAACCTTGGCCTTGAGATTATATTCTGAGAGCCAGTGACTTTGATGATGTCACTGTGCTAAAAAAACTATTTTTTTCAGGTCACTAAATCCTCACTTTCACATCCTACCTGTCAATCCAATGCATTTCACCCTTACGGGTTTAAAGAAATAGTTCACCTTTACCAAAAAACTACCTATGCAGATAAGGGGTGTGTGTAGGGACAAGCAAGCTGTGCAGCTCTGACCAAAGTTGAACAATGCTGTTGTTATAGGTGTAGGCCATTTACACAACTCATGACCTCAATACAAACTTTAATCGTAAAAAATAGTAGATGTATACTTACAAACGACAAATGTAAACAGG